GACCTGCGAAGCGGCCCGGCGCGCGGATCCTTACTCGAACTGTCAACACACCCCGCTAGTTCAGACTCCTCCGATTACTCTCCATTCAGGTAGAAAGTCTGGGGACAGATGCATACTGGAGGCGTGACCATGTTGTTAACGCGATGTGATGACGTGCCAAACTTATCGTCTCTTCTCAGCCTCGCAACTGGGTTACGTCTGCCTTGCTGACCATCGACCCCATATGCTTACCATGAGCCATCGTATTCGGTCGCCGGCACTGTCCTTCCGCGGCGGGCCGTTGTGGCGTTAGGATCCTGAGAAGTTCTCGTATTTGCGGTGGAGAACACATAGTTCAGCAAGCCATGTCTGTGGGAAGGTTGCCTTATTCGCAGCTTAACGGCTGCTGCAAGCCGTCCGTCAGCCGGATATGCAAGCTTCCTGCAGCATCGTCCGGAAACGTTCGTTCTTGACTTCAGCCACATATTGTTAGTTCCCACGGCATGACTGGGGAAGAATGCTTCCAACTGCCTCGAATCAGCTCAAGTCTCAAACGCGCTTTGGTTGACGATTTTAGTTTCGAGTAACTTGCCTAGGAGTCATCTTCACCAGTCAGACCTCTGTTGCGGTCAACAAGATAGTCTAGAGTCACGCGCCTACAGGACCTCCTTCATGGAAAGGTGTCCGGATCGTCATGGTCGTTGGCCCCTAGCGTTCATCAGCGGTCTCGTGTTCGCGTTGTGGGGCGTAAAGATGTCGAGCGTTGGCCTCGGCAGATTTGCAGGTGTATCAATACCACCCTTTCGCAGCGTCGCGTTAGCCGCATCAAGGGTAGTTATTTACAGTGACACGGATGGCCCCTGCAGATGGGCGCTTGGGTGGATCTCATGGGGAAAGCAAGGCTAATCAGGCAGGTTGGACGTTCCTGCGCTGTGTGACGTCACTTTGCTTTTGGTTAGAGCTTTGCCGATCGAGACCGAGCCGAATTTTGAGGTCTCCCTCCACGTGTTCTGGGGTAATCCAGATACCTGGTACGGGGATGGCGAAGTCGATCAGGGAGCGAACTAATATAATTTGTAAACGTCGGGCATCATTCGACGACACTTTACGCCGTCGGACTGCGACGGTTGCGAGCGTCCTTCAGAAATACTTAGGTGATCGAGCTATCGTTATCGTTCCTTTTGTCCAGGAGTTTCATCATGAGTTATCCATCTCGGGTGTCGGTTGGCTTTATTTAGCTTTCTTGCCACGCTCCCAGGCTGTTACTATTGAGTGGGCTGAAGATCAGCAGTAGTTCTTATTTCGTTCATTGACAATCTCCTACCGATAGTGGTGATTTTGATCTAGATCGAAGAACAACGCAAGCGATAAAGAGTCTGGTGGTACTCCTGAACTAGGCTGATATCCTTTCTGTACCGTCTTTGAGAATTACTAGCGCTCATTTTGCCATCACCATCAAGAGTGCGAGACAAATGTTTGTCGTCCGCTTGGAAGAACGTTGACATGAATAACAAATGACTCGAACAAACAAGATGACGAAACGAGGTAGTATACGAACTGTCACTAGAGTCCACAGTATTTTTGGATGTTTATTCCGGATCTGGGCATATGAGTCGAAACGCTAAATCCACTTTTCATTGCTATCCAGTGTTGCGCTGCTCCTTCATTGTACAGGAGACTGAGTTCGGGAGCTTACTGGCCAGTCTGATGCTGTAAAGGATTATCGATGTCTGCTTTCGAACAAAGGTGTAGCGCGCGGTATCTCGAAAGATTGTGATGACAAGATCATGTAGAGTCTCGCGCTCTCGTGACCCGGCCGATGCGCCGGAGAGCAAACCCACGACAGATATATGAACACCAAGGGCTGCAGTAATGAATAAGACAATTATACCTTGACTGCCAACCAAATGGCGGAGTCAATGCGTCGGCCTGCTCTCGTGGCGATACCCCGCTCGAGTATATAAATAAGCCTACCATCCGGGACCGGATTGGGTCTCTAATACACAGAACATTCGACTGCAATTACGCTTATCAGGCTTACCCACAGTTCTATCAATTCTACCTAGCGCGTAAGTATTCAGTGGTTTCGGTTCTCCTTTGCACGAGCTCATCAAGGACCGCGGAGGCTTCGATGATCTAAGTGCGCGACCCACGCCCTCCGACTAGACACCGAATCCTGCCTCACTTCGTTTTCAGTACACATACGCCATTGGAAAGATTGCTGACGGTATCCAGGACATGGCGAACACTCCTTTTCCGTTCGAAAGACTACCAGCTGAGCTGCGTGCTGAAGTCTACAAAAACCTCCACTGTAATACGAAGTACGCAATAGCGCGACGAGACGATATCAGAACGCCGGTGGTTGTCGTCAGATTCTCTTATATCGAACGCGCTATAGTCGCTGTGTCAAAGGCAATCCGAAACGAAGCTGAAAAGGTCATCGACGAGGAAACCCAGAAGTGTGGCCCGGCTCAGCTCATCGCAGACTGCGATTACTTCCACTTCGTCCCTGAAGTCCTTGACGATATTCGAAATGCCCGACAAGGCTATGTTCCACCAAACATGGGACTGGCCGATGACGAGCGTGAGAATTTCGATACCATATTCACCCGCAGAAACCTAGTGGAGCAAGCTCGGATGGACGCGGTTATGTATCAGATGTGGACCCGCCTCGCGAATCTATACCTCAAGACGAACGAGCGAATCGAGGTCGGTGTCTGGATTGGGAACGATGCCGCTTGCGAAAAATTTGTGGAACTGCTCCCCTCTGCCATCGGAGACATCATCAATCCCCGCTGGGACGCGTCCGACTCCGGCATGTATCGTCCTAAGTCCGCGGTGACAATTGAATGCTCAGAAGAGCTTGACGCGGATGTGGAAGACATTGTTCAGGATTTCAAGGATGCGCGTTTCGAGGTTAGCGAAGAACTGGAACCGGAAGAGATGGAGTCAAGATGGAGCCTTAAGACCTTTGACGGAGTTTTTGAAGAAGAGGAGCTGTCGAGCGACGAGTCCAGCGAAGATTCAGATGACGAGTTGGATTGAAGCGAGGATGAAACAATGGGTGTGGAATAAATGTGAAATTGGACAACGCGATAGATAGAGAAAACAAGATAGGCTACCAGAGTTGATTTGACGTCTGAACATACAGACAGCACCCATAAATGACTACATCTGACTTTTAACATAAAACACGCTGTCTATACATCGGCGGTGAAGTGTGAGTGGTGAAAATGAGTCTCAAAGGTTGGAGCTTGGCAGGTGCTAGCCAGCTACCGACGCCAATCCACCTAGCTCCCCGCTTTCCACCAACCACCTGCATCCCCCACGCAACTACTCTCCATCGGGATCGCGATCGCTCGTCGCACGCGACTACTACAAGGCGCGTTGTATCGCGCAATCAGCCTCTCCAGGATACGCCAGTTGTATACGATATCGAAGGAAAGTCGACCTTTGTCGCAAACAGCTATGCGCACCTGCTGGATACAGCGCGATCTCTCAGCAAGAACGACCGCCGTTATTTACAAACACGGAGACGTTATCGAAGCATTGCGACATGCAAGCGTTGCGATACATCGTTGCCAGCTGGAAATAGCCAAGCGCAGTGGGTTCCACTCGCCCGAAAGTTCGGCGAACCGGCATCAGCTCAACCGCACGAAGGACTTCGTACCCGGATATCATTGGCCATGGCGATGTACCCAACGAGCAACACTTTGGACCATGACAACTCAAAGATTGTAGTATCGTATCTGTTGTCTTCTTGGACAGCGGCAAACGCATCGTCGACCTTCTCGCTATCGGGATATGCCGTAGCATGGGGGAGGAGCCCCTATCCGTCCCACATGGACCAGCAAGTCCGTTCGCGCCGCCGTCGTTGCACGTCACCTCTCACGTTGCGCAATATAAACACATCTGTCTGGCAAACCTCCATCAATCAGCGAATCAACAATTCGCTCCAAATTTGAGCAAGATCTCAACAACCGGGCTTGTGGTTTAGTGGTATAATACTCCCTTAGCATGGGAGTGGTCCAGGGTTCGATTCCCTGCAAGTCCATCTTTTTGCGCTCGTCGCCGTCGCGGGGTGTCTGCACGACGCTGCCGGTGTTGATTTTCTGAGGTCGGAATTTTCATTTTTGACAATGTAAGTGGATTACGAAACCATCGGTTTGAGGAGCAAGCGGCAAAGTACTACTCACAGTCTTACGACCCACGCTATACTTCGCTCCAATTCTGGATCTGGGATATAACTTCCGGCACCAAGTAATTACATCCACCGTTGGACATATATCCGTACCACGCTCAATCAATCTCCCGTCCCACTAGCTGTTCGACGCAATATACACTCAAGGAAATAACACGTCGATTGGTGTGTGAACGAAATTGCGCGACTGAAAGCCAGCCATCAGTCGTGCAGGTGCTTGAAAGTGCTTGTTGAAGATAGCAGGGGGCCTCAACATACTCAGTACACCATGGTTTTCTTCCAAAGCGTTGCATACGGCTTAACGTTTGAGAATTCGCGTGTTCATGATGGCATTGCTGCTTTGCAAAACACACACAGCGGGTCCTGGCAGCGCCATTGCTGCGCAGCTTCTCGAGCGGACCTCGGAGTGAATTGTGAGACCATGAACGTTCGATCGGAGCAACTGTGCTGCAACTCCGAGTCCAAGAGAGGCATTCCACTCTCCAGTTGCGGGAGTTTGCTAGGATACGGAGGATGTTGATCAACATCGGACCTGAAAATGTAGCGACTATCCCCGTTAGGAGTATATTGATTACTGACGAGCAGCATACACTCGCTAGTTTGTCTTGCAATCATTACACCGAGTTTTCGGGGGACCAATTACGCACCAGCGAGACACTACACCATTCGGCCGAAAACTCGGCCCTCCCTCTCGTATAAGAGAAACAAGATGGCGGTACAAATGTCATCACAAGCACTTAGCAACACGAATCCTTTCAATCAAATTAACACCAATCCCGTGTCTCTATCCATTCCACCGAACACGTCCCCATTGTCCAATATGGTCAAAATCGCAATCGCAGGCGGTGCTGGAAGTAAGTTTCCCGCGGATCATACCGACGGGATGAACTAACATCTTTCCAGACGTAGGGCAAGAGTGCATCGATGCTCTTCTCGCCACGAAGAAGCACGAGATTGTGATTTTCACACGCAATGTCATTACCACGTGTCTCTCACCTTACTTGATTCTGACACATCTTCCAGGATGTCCCCGCCGAGACTACCGACTCGCCCGTCAAACTAGTGAAAGCCAACTACGAAGACGTGGCTGAACTGACTAGTCATCTACAAGGCGTAGACGTAGCACTATCTTTCATCGCGCCACTGGACCTGCAACAAGGGGTTACCTTCCAGAAGAATCTCATCGATGCCTCAATCAGGGCTGGTGTAAAGCGTTTCGTACCCAGCGAATGGGTCTCGTAAGTCATTGCAATCGCCCACTCTTCCGCGCTTGCTAACCATAATCTAGATCCACCTTAGAGCACACGCCGTGGTATTCGTTCAAGGACACGATACGCGAATACCTAGCCGAGATCAACAAAGACAAAAAAGTCATCGAGTACACTCTTTTTCAGCCTGGTCTCTTTTCTAACTACTTAACCGTTCCATACAAGTCAGCCAAACATCTCACGCCGCTCCGGGTAATGTACGATTTCGAGAATCGTAGGGCCATCTTGCGAGAAGGCGGAGATGATGATACCATCGTCTTGACCACGGTACAAGATCTCGCCGGCGTTGTCGCGCGGGCAATCGATTACGAGGGCGAATGGCCTGTCGTGGGCGGCGTTCGAGGTTCGCGCATCTCCATCAAGGAGCTCATTGCTCTTGGCGAAGAAATAAGAGGTCAGTCCTTCGCCTTCTCCCAGCTCAGATGAGCCGTGCCGCTGTCTGCTTGTTTACTAATAAGATATCACAGGTGGACCCTTTGCCATCGAAAGACTCTCCAACGAGGACTTGAAAAACGGGAACTGGACTGCCTCCTGGTTACCGAAATTCGAACATAATGCCGTCCCACCGGCGATGGCTGAGGAGATGGCAAAGATGGTACTGATTGGCTTCACTAAGGCTTTTGGGGCAGGTGCCTTCGATGTGGGAGATGAATGGAACCGATTGTTGCCCGATTATGAGTTCACGGATGTGAGGATGTTTTTGCGCAAGGCATGGGAGGGGAAGCCATGATGAGGTAGTCGAATGAACCATGTTGCGCAGCCGGTCTTCGGGGTAATGCGATGGCGTAGACTGGCTGCAGTAGTAGTAGGTTTCCAATAGCGAACAATGTACTGTCTTTACTGTGTAACCCGGGTCATCGTAATACAGCTTTTCAAATTGGAACTACCAACTTCGACATCACGAGATTGCAGTCGCACAAAGAGGAAAGTTTTGGTACGACCTGTCCAGAGCGTTCGTCCGAGATTCGAGCGAAGCCTAGGTAGCCAAAAGGGCCGAACACCAGTCCCCTACTGCACTAGCCACTCTCGTCACTTCCCTCCCCAACCTCCATCAACACATACTCAAATATGCACCCGTGTCCCTCCCCGTCACCTGAGACTAACTCCCATGAAGATGAAAGAGCGGCGAAGCGGCGTAAAGTACGCAAAGGCACTCAAAGTTGCTGGGAATGTAAGAAACGGAAAGTCCGATGTATCTGGGCATCACCTACCAAGTCCAAATGTAGTAACTGCGTGCGACGCAAGACAGACTGTGTTAGTCAGGAGTTTGCGGATGAACCGAATGAGAACAAGAGAGGAGATGCTGGATTAGAGACGCGTTTGGGTCGGGTGGAGACGTTGCTTGAGCGACTTATTGGATCGTCGACAGACAGGCGCCACGACATTGCTGACGAGTATCCGGGAGATGCAGACCTGGAGAGACCGAGGAGCGTAATAGTATGTGTAGCGTGCTGGGGTCTATCCTACATTCATCTCTGACACTCACAAGGATCACACAAGAAACATCAACATCACATCATCCACCTCCCCAGAGACCACATCAAATATCACAGATCTCTCGCAACAACCAGAACCAGCACTTAGCGATACATACACCGGCATATCGCGAGACCTCGTCGCAGCATGGCCCACAGCCCAAGATCTCGACTACATCTGCAAGCTACCTGTCAGCATCTCCACGCACATGCACATGAAATTAACGACATCCTCTGCCAACCTGATGAGTCAGGTTCCAGATAGCCCACGAAAGATATTGCAGCTACCACCACCAGGATCGCATCCAATATTGATAGCGCGGAAACTCCTTTTACTCGGCAATATAGTGCAGGGCGCACTATCCGATGACTGTATACCCAGAAGCCAGCGCGAGCATCTCAGTAAAGTCATGGCTCATGCCATGGATACAGCAACGCGACTGGTGACCTCCAATGACGAGCTAACCGCCTCTGTTGAGGGCGTCGAATGCATCATGATCGAAGCCATTACCCAGAACTACGCTGGGAACCTACACCGCGCGTGGCTGACTGTGCGCCGCGCCGTTGCCGTAGCTCAGATGTTGGGTCTGCATCGTGGTAATGCTAAGCGAGCTTCTATCAAGGTGGTGGATCCCAAGACGCGCGAGAGCCTCGATCCAGACCAGCTGTGCTGTCGTATTGTGGAGATGGATCGCTACCTCTCGTTGACACTGGGGCTGCCGCAGTCTTCGCTGCAGACGGTCGGGCTGAGCGCTGAAGTTATAGCAAAATGCCATCCGCTGGACCGCATCGCGAGGCTGCAATGCGTCATTGGAGATCGTATCTTGGCGCGTAAAGTAGGAGAGCCGCGCGATATCACGGAGAAAAGGGTCCGGGAAATTGATGACATGTTTAGGGAGGTGACGGAGCTGATGCCGTCGGACTGGTGGCTTATTCGAGACTTTGACAACAAGGACGGGGGCGAATCGGATCCGATGCATGAGGTTGTAAGGAATATGTATCAGCTGTCGCACTTCTACCTCGTTATACGCCTGCATCTACCGTATGTTCTTCGCTCGTCGGGCGACGATAGATGTGAAGAAAGTAAAGCGACAGCTGTGCATGCCGCCCGCGAAATCATGAGTCGATATATCGCGTTTCGCAAGTGGAAACGCGGTCCGTATTATTGCAGAGGAGTCGATTGTCTGGCTTTCGTCGCCCTCATGGTGCTGTGTCTGGCCCATATCGATTCGCAGAACCAATCGATGATTCGGCACAAAGCACTTTTCGATCATAGCCGTCCGAGCGATCGCGCTTTGATGGAGCGAACGGTCAAGGTATTGGGGGAGAGGAGCGACGATGCTCTCGCCACGAAGCTATCGAGTATCATACAGTATCTTCTCGACGCCGAAGCAGCATCGGCAAATGGGACTGGCTACAACACTTCGGCTAGTGAGACAGACGATGGGATGGCGACGGAATTTGATGGCCAGTTCATGGACGCTGAGAAGGCGGTCTTGCAGCTTCACCTGCCGTATTTTGGCACCATCAGCCTACAGCGCAGGCTAGCCTCCGATATCCCGTTGGCTGAGGAGATGCTGTCTATTCAGGTCGCTGACCAGACACAGTCATCACTCACGGAGTGGGACAATCGGTGGTCGTTCCTTGATTCGTCGAACGATGTGGGGGCGCTTGATGACTGGACACTGCAGAGCATCAACGAAGGTCTTTTCGGGGGACTGCTTGGCGGGTTGGGAGACGTGGATTTCGACCCTGGGCTGCCTGTAGATATATAGAAGCAAGGGAAATCCAGACGTGTTATGTTGCAAAGCACAGTAGAAATGTTCCAAGTCACGTTTGTACCCCTCTTTCCTGCCATCTCGCTCATTGAAGATGAATTACGCCACTTTATCTACCATAAGAGTGTAGCTAGGGTATGCTTTTCGGATTGTTCACTACATCGTTCACAGTAGCTAGGTCGAGGTCGTCCATTCGCCCTCGTCCGATTCTCTATTGACTGCAGCGACGGAAGAATAGGGAGGCAGGCGCGACAGGTGAGATATTTCGCCAAGCAGATACACTATATCAGGCCTAGCGCATCACGTAAGGAAAGTGCAAAGTACAAATACGTTCAGCACGGCAAGCGCAAAGAAGGAAGAATATTAACAGCTGAATCACTGCAGTTGAGATTAGACTGACTGCAATCTCAGTCAACAGATTGCTACATGTGCAAACGTACATTCTCGAATCTGTTCAAGCAAGTCCTCATGGACATGGTATCCTCCAAAACCGTAGCTCTGTGCTGTAGAGCAATATTTTAAACGCCGGAAAATGCAATGGAACAACGCCAGTATACGTGGATGGAAATCATGCTCGTCGTTTGCCGATACGGCCGGGGCCGCTGGGACGTCCACCATTGGGCTTCAGTGCGCCCTTGCCTCGTGAAGTAGGGAAGGAGACTTTGTTCTGGGGCTTGCGTCGCAGTTGTTTCCGGGTCTGGCTCTTGTCCTTGGTCTTGCGCGAGCTCGAGCTCTTCGCAGAGGTGGAGGTGGAGGTGGCGTCGACGTCCATATCTAGCAAGTCAAAGTTAGCCCTTGATTCTCACTCTACCAGTGCGGAGGAAGCGGGTCAAAGGCGAATTTGAGATGGCCGTCATCGGTGAAGCCCAGGATGTCTGAACACAGGCCTAGGTGGAAACACAGATTCCCGAGTTCGCAGTCCTCTTCTGCGGGATCGAGTGGGCTTGCAGAGGGATCGGATAGGGAGCGTGGCATGGGGACAGTAAGCAGAGACGAACCTTTGGGCAAGTCCTCCTTGGCGGCATCGTCGGTGGTGTTGGCTGGGACATGATTAGAAGGTGCATATGGTGGGAGACGGCTGGGCGACTCACTTTCTTCGGTTTCCATCTCAGTCCTCTCGGGCTTGGGCTGGGCAATCGTCTCGAGAAGTTTGGCGTGCAGGCGCTCGGCGCGTGCCTGCTCGACAGGGCCGAAAACTCGGGCGCGCAGCTTGGTGCGGTTCGCCTTTTTGCTGCTTGCGCGTGCGCCTTTGGCCATTGTGTAGAGAGAGTGCCGGGGAATGTGTGGGTGAATGGGTGTTTGGGCGTGTGTCTTGGTCACGTCGGCGGCGGCTGGTGGGGAAAAGTTCGAGGAATTTTGGTGGCAAGGCGTTTGGCGTATCAAGCCAGGCCGGCCCGTGCCCTGGTCGCGTTCTTCGCCTAGTTGCAGGTGACGCTGACTTCGGTATATCCCAGCTGGAGATGCGCTCGCCGCGAGAGCCGCCGCCTACCTCGACGGCCGAATACTAGAAAAGTCGCATTGCGGCCTCTGCTCGCCTGTTTGCTGCTCCGCGACTGTCCCGCCCGCCTGTCCTGCTCGCTCTGCATTGCCGCCGGGGGCTTGGGGAAGTTGCGACCAACGCCCGTCCGACTCGACTGCACCTCAGAGAGCCGGATATCGCCCTTCGCTGCCTTCACCTCGCCCTACGTCACCCGCCCGAGAGAGTGCCTGAGATAGCCCGCCCCAGATGCCTTCGCGAGCAAAACTGAACCGGTAGCCCTTGACCTCCCTCTCCAACACCGCCAGCCTCTCCACCGCGACGGCACAAAACCATGGCGACGAGCATGCAGCAGATGGCTGCCACCATCACCGAGCGCTCCAAGACACTCATCAACAACGACCTCAAAAAGATTCTCAAAGAGGAGGGCACCTCGCAGACGGGCAACAAGGCCGCACTGCAAGCGCGCGTCATTGGCCGTAGGTATCTCCGCTCCCCAGCAACACGGCTTGCTGTCGCCGCTCACCTGCTAACTTCACCCTCCCCAGTCATCGCCAATGCCGTTGCTAGGAGCGACACCGACCTGCTGCGGCGACTGCAATACCGCGTGCAACACCACGGCGAAGCGCCTCCACCAGCCACGAGCAGTCCCGTCGCCTCCTCGTACTCGCAGCCCCCTCCGCCCATCGCGAACGGGTACAGCATGGCCAACGGCTACCAAAGCAACGGCGCATACCAGCCATACCAACAGCCCCAGCAGCCACCCATGCCGCCACGCCCGACCTATTTCTTCAAGGAGAGCCCTTTCTTCGAGATTCGCGAGCTGATACTGAGTAACATGTCTCTGGACGCTTCGCCGACGCACCGTGCCACCATATCGCGTAACCTCACCCTCAACGAAAGCCAGTCCGGACGCCTAAAGACAGACCCATCTTTGCGCCTGCTGCTCTTCTCTGCGCTCGAACAGCCATTGGCGCCCTTCTCGCGTCTCGATATCGCATTCCCATCTCAAATTGAGGTCAAGGTCAACGACGACGAGGTAAAGGCCAACTACAAGGGTTTGAAGAACAAGCCAGGCTCTACGCGCCCCGCCGACATTACCGACTTCGTCCGCACCAAGGTCGCCAACCAGCGCAACAGCATCCTCATCACCTACGCCCTGACTCAGAAGGCAAGTCGGTCGGAGGTTTCTTATCCCATCAGCTTCCCAAACGTGACTCTGAGCTAACTCCTAATGCAGAAGTACAACCTGTTCGTCTACTTGGTCAGGAAGTACTCGGTCGACGAGCTCACACAGCGCATCAAGAAGCGCCACGTCATCACGAGGCAGTCTGTGCTCAATGAGAGTATGTAGTGGCCCTTGGCAGCTAACATCCCTCACATGACTAATGTTGTAACAGTGATGAAGAAGGCCAATGACCCCGACATCGAAGTTGGCTCCAGCGTCATGTCGCTCAAGGACCCAATCTCTACCCTGCGCATTGTCACCCCATGCAGGTCGACTGTGTGCACACACAATCAATGCTTTGACGCCGACTCATTTCTGCAGCTCCAGGAGCAAGCTCCCACATGGACATGCCCAATATGCAGCAAGACCATATCATACGAAGGCTTGGCCGTCGACCAGTATGTTGAGGAAATCCTCAACAAGGCCCAGAACACGGACCAGGTCACCATCCAGCCAAGCGGACAATGGTCGACCGAAAAGGATGAGAAGCCCAAACAAAACGGGCACAATGGGCATCATGACGATAGTGATGATGACCTCATCGAGATACCAGATTACCGTATACAGGCCATCAAGACCGAAGCTGCGCCGACACCCACTTCGCTCAGCACCCCTCCACTGCCATCTCGCGAGACATCCACAGCCCCTCGGTCTGGCCAGAAGAGAAAATCCGAAGTAGTGGATCTGACCTTGAGCGATGATGATGAGCCAGTAAGACCAACGAAAAAGGTAGCGTACACTACCCCCAATAGCCTTCCTGATCCGCCCCGTCGGTATCATTTACCTCCCCTCGGCAGTCACTCTGCCCATAGTCGTCCACTGCCACCAACCTACCATAGTGGGTCTGCCAGCATGCGTTCTGATTACTCCCGGCCTCCATCTACACCTCCACCACGCCATGGGTATCAATCCTATCGACCAGCACAGCCTGCTTCGCGGCCTAGCTATCCTGGACAGGGTACTTCCTCCTACCCTACCTACCTGGGCTCTTCTTCCCCTTAATTACATGTTGCGCGTTCTTGTTGTATCTTCCACTCATGTATGAGTATTGTTCATCCGCTAATACCACCTCGGGATCGCAGGGCAGAATAACGGGGACCAGACGAGGTAGCACATCATCCACTTAGGCCGTTCACAATATTGTGGACCGTTGCGCCACGTGGCGGGCATCCTGCGTAGGCTGATGAAGTGAAGCTCTCTACATCATACACTCATCTCTTTCCTAATTTGTCAAGGAAACTTAGCGCGAGGCGTTTGGGGGAGGCTGCATTTCATGACCATCTATCTACGGCGTAAAACACTGGTTGGGGGCATTGAGGATACCACCGCTTGGGATACTTGCATGCATTTCGGGAGCTTATACCAGCGACCTTCTGCAATGACGAAAGGAGCAGAAGTCGCGTGCGGAAGGACGGAGAAAGGAGGTGGCGGTTCATGTACGATCGTGTAGCAGTGACGCCTTTTGGCTTCGGCCATACTAGACAGTTACCAGTATTACCGTGGGTGCTGTCAGCAATTTCCATTTCCCTTTATTTGCGCTTACGTATCATACACGCCGACGTACTCAGTCCAACGGTTCCGGCAAAACACAAACAACATCCTCCTCTTCCCCATCATCCCCAACCCTCTGCCTCACCTCCCTACTCTCCAACTCCACATCATCCACATCCGGCTCCTCCCCCAAGCCATCCACCACCACCTCACCCTTGTCCTGAACCTTCCTCCTAACCTGCGTATCAAACAACGCACCCTTATCAAACAGCCTATCCGACTTGACCCCTCCCTTCCTCTTCACTTTAACCTCCCTTATCCTATACGCAAAAACAAAGTCCTCCGCCCTCGTACTCTGCTCGCTCGTCCCGCTCTTCCTCTTCCAATTCCCCTCCGGTCCCACCGAAATCGGTACGCCAGACCACGCTGTCGCATCCACACCCGCATGCACATAAACACCTTTTTCCTGGAGCCGTTCCCTGGAAAGCGTAGTTGACGACGCTATCATAACACCCGTTATGATGTATATTTTCTCTCTGAATCGGTGCTGCGTGATGTAATCCCTAACATCCTCATGCCTCACCACGTCTTCCAGAAACGCGCGGCTGGGACGAAAAGTTTGTGTTGTCATTTTTTCAACTTGCCAGGTTTGCTGCGTGGACTTGTCGTGGCTGATGCTTAGGTCTAGGCTCGCGCCTAGCACGACTTCGAGGAAAGAGGTCCAGATGCCGAAGGTGGATGAAGACGATTTGCTGTATGTGCCGCTCCAGTTGTGCTCGGTGAAGGTGCTTGTGTCGGTTTGGGGTGGGAGGGAGGGTAGGTGTAGGGGTTCGTCGGGTTGGGAGGGCGAGGGGATGATGGCGCCGAGGCGGATGGAGCCATCGGGGGGACTGGGACGCGGGGGCGTGAGGAAGTATGTGGGTTTTGGGGTTGGCATGTTTTGTGCGATGGTAAGAGAGAGGGAGTGTTGTTGTGATGTAGTGGGGATTGGAGGATGTGTTGACGCTTTGACGCCGTAATGGGTCTCTGAAGATGTAGCGACGACTTGAAGACGTCGTGAAGCTCTGGGGATGCGGTGACGCTGTGGTAGACTGAGTGTGCGATGGTAACCCGGCGCCATATATATAGTGAGACGCTAGTTGCAGAAGTACTAGACATGAGTCGAAGCATGCATGGTAATGCAGGCTTACGTGTGGATGCATGACCAGCGGGGCTGAGTAATGCAGCCCACGGTCCAATCCTGATGGGCTCACTGGATCGAGCAGTGTCTACCCGGTAAACTCATGTTGGGTACCAAGGTATCTGGGACTGATACCACACTGATCATATCTTCATGAACAGAATCTTCGGCATACCTTGCGTTCGCGGCGGGGCAGGCTGTGTTGGTTTAGCATTCGCATTCAAAATTTGAGAGGGGGACACATACTCTTTCTGGATGATCATCGAGGGAACTCGGTAAGGACTCAAGCTCTACTCTATCGTGTCTCGGAGGTCGTGGTATCCCACCAGTTCTCGGCACTACCAATGCATGGTTCCCACCATGCGTTGTGTTGAAAGCTGCTGCTGGTCTACGCGTCTGCCTCGTGGCTCGGGATGGTTCATAACGCGTATGATGTGGTTCCTGATCAGCTGGGTGATGTGTCGGAGCAGCCTGGTGAGTTGTATGAGGGATGGTTGGAGGTGCCACTGGCTGATGGTAATGGAGAGGGACCCGAGGATGGTTTGGATGATGTGCTGAGCTAGGTGGTAGGCCGGGTGCTGGACGGACCGGTAAGATTGCCGCTGGACCTAGACCACGGGTACTGAATGGTGGTCTAGTTTGAGCAGCAGGTGGTGGAACTGGTAGCGGGGCTCTTGGGGATGACGGTGGGCTTGTTGTAGAAGAGCTTTTATCACTACCTGTACTACTGCCCTTACCACCACGACCACGGCCGCAGCAACAGCACCATATTAGGGATATCAGGATCAGCAGACCAAGAAAAGCTCCCACAAAAGCTCCTCCAATGACTTCGCTAGATGGTCGCGCAAGAGTAGGGCTTACGGGACCCGTCTCTTCGACGG